GTCTACTTCATTTCTTTATCTATTTACTTTTTTTAAAATAACTTAAATTATTGTTGTAATAAGATTTTAGCTTTACATTGACTGCTTTGGATTCCCTACTGACCATGATGTTGCTGCTATGAATGCATCCAAGCATAAATGGAAAGAACTTAAATCGGTGAGCATGAGCTAAAAAGCAGCTCTTGAGACCATATCTCTACTATATTTAGAGGTACAACGGTAAAGACAGCACTGCGCATGGTCTTAGTAAGGTGCGATGATAGTTGGTTTATTTTTCGAATGTACAAAGGTATTTAGTGCAGGTGCTTCCCATAACGACAGACTGTCCGCCGGAGGCGGTGAAGCTTCTGACGCAGATGCTTGTCTACATGCCTACTCAACGATTACATGGCCCACAATTGCTGTGCGACCCTTTCTTCAAAGAACTGTTTGACAAAAACACCAAACGACCGTCGGGGAAACCAATAGGATGCCTAAGCAAAGCAGTATGTAATCGCTGCAGTGATGTTTTCTGCAACAACTCTTCCTTTTTAGGACGTTAACGACGTAATCCATGGCGATTCGTCTATGACAGCATCCATTCAGTGAACGGCCTAAGAAACTAATTAATAATCTATTCAAACCTACGAAATATCTACTAATACAATAATAAAGATTTTGTCTGCAAAAATGGCTTAAGCAAACGCGTTTAATTCAATGGTGTGCTTTCACAATCTAGGCCACTAAACAATATCGTATATAGATTACCTGCCGAAAGTCAGGGGAATTATCAATGGTGTCCCGTCTACCGTTTCACTGCTATGGTGCACTATTCTAAGGTAGATAGTCTACTTCCCTTCTAGCTTCATAAGTTATGTCAGCACCTATGTCCAACTGGAAGAAGTATCCTCTAATAATGACATCGAGTTACGGCCGTTTGTTGAATTCGATCGCGACATCGCAGTGCTCTTTCTACTGCTAGCATGGGACCGAATCCTTTTCCAAGCTTTCTGACTAGAGGAGGAGGAGAGCGGTTTACTCTGAGAACTGATGTCGCGTATTGTTCATATGTTTATGTTGTTCATTTTCAATGCGATGGGATTCTCGTATTTGTAAGCCAGATTCTCAATTGTCAACGGAGTCTCATTCGTATGCGTGCCCGTTGGGTGAATAACCTTAAGGCGAAATTCCCATTGGAAGCCTGAAGACCCGTTTTTGTAACGAGTTTATCGCCGTATTATCGGTTCTTAAGTCGGTGTCCTTGTCCATTAGTTTGATTATGTTGATGTGCTCTCAGAGTGGCATGTACGCTGGTTTTAGCAGCGGGGAATGGTCATAAGGCAGTCATACATTTTCCCTGTCAAAGCCACTTTAAAAATAAATTGCTTTTAGAGATTCGCAATCGCTGTATCAACAACATTGAAGACGCCCCCATCAATCAAGGACGGAGAAGAAAACCCTATCAACAGTTCGTGCGGTTGTAAGCAAAACATCATGCGCACTTCTTGTATGCGTCCTCGTCCAGCTTCATGTTGTCCGGCACCAATGCGTCGCGTATGACTGTTGTATATTGAACCAATAAACGGATATGCTA